TGTCCCAGGGGAGAACAGCACATGCAAAGGTCCTGAGGTGGGGACAGGCTAGGTGTGTGTGTGGGGGGGAGAGAGCAGCACCTGGAGTGGAGCGAGTGAGAGGAGTGATGCAAGAGACGGGGTCAGGGTAGTGTTTGGAGCTGCATCCCCAGGGCTGGGGACATGGGGCTCGGATGTAATTTGGTGGTATCTGTGGATTCTGCAGTGCCACTCCTTTAATTTGTGCCAAGAAAAAGCCTTGCTCATTTGGGGCTCCACAGAGCTTGGCTGCAGAGAACAGTACGTGTGCTCTGAGTTTCACCGCCGGCCTGATGAGGAGAGTTCTCAGTCAGAGTGGGAGGATGGCAGAGAGCGGGGCAGCGCACAGTGAACTCTACAGAATGAGCCCCTGACTTCCACAGAGGGCCTCGATGGCAGAGGCTCACACAGCAACACCACAGGGCAGAGGTCTGGGGCCTGACAAAACTGCTTCTTTGGCACCATCATCATCCTCATAAAAAAAAAATTGGTGCTAACAGTTATACAGGACTTATGCACCAGGCATGGTTCCAAGCATTTTATTAATTCATTTAATTCTCCATTTAACCCCATATGGTCAGTATTACAAAGGTCCCCATTTCACAGATAGGAAAACTGAGGCTCAGAGAGGTAAAGTGATATGCCCCAAAGCAAACCCGGACATGTGAACCCCAAAGTCTGTACTTGCAACCATCCATGATGCTGCCTCAGACTGAAGCAAAAGCCCACCCTGCATGGAGGCCGGATCAGGGCTCCACACAGCCTGACTGAGCACGCTGTGATGTGTGACCTGGTCTGTCCAACCTCACAGGGCCCCAGGAGGGAGTATGTCTAGATTTTGCCGAGGAACCAGGTGTGAACAGGGTGGCTTGGGCATGCTGACAGGGAAGGCTTCTGAGGTCAGAGAGGTGGGTGGCCTGTCCAGGACCACACAGAAGAACGGTGGATGCAATGACAAGGTGGCAGAAGCCCTCCTGGGGAGAAGCCGTCAGCGAGGACAGAGTATATCCTGCCCCAAGCTCACCATCACCAGAGCCTTGGGGGGAGGGAGAGGGCTGAAACTACAGGCCAGGGGTACACAGGGCTGCCCCCAACATGCTGGTGGTGTTGACCATTTCTGCTAGGGAGTCGGGGGCGCAGGCTGAGCTGTCCAGAGAGGCCGGCAGCAGGGGGCAGCAGAGGGCCAGCTCCGTCCACAGCAGCCCAAGGGTTTGGCCAGCATAGGGTGGTGGGGTGGTAGTGAATGCCAGGGTCTGGGGCAGCTGCAAAAGCTGGCACCTGTACAGATTGAGAGCTCAGAGCCCAGCCCCCAGCTCCCTGTGGGTGACAGGAATTCAGTAGCTTTCTTTCCAGTTGTCAGTGTTGCTGGCAGCTCACCCTGTAAAGGCCTTGGAACAAGGTCAAGAGATAGGGTAAGTTTCCATTTCATCTGATTTGTTTTGATCAAAAAGACTTCTAATTTGTTTATCATTCTTCCAGATCCCTTTTAAAAACTTTTAAAACATAGAGGTGATTTCTGAATGTTTGGGCTGACAGGGATTTTAGAGATTAGCTGGTAGAGAATTTTTCAGATTTTGTGGGTCTCTTCCCTTTTTCCCTCCTTTCCTTCCCAAAAGCCCCTTCTTCAAATGGCTGAAGAAGGAAAGGGGTGAGAAGGGGGCTGCAGAGCTCAGCCTGATACTTGCAGTTTAGGCCACCTTCTTATTCTACAGAGGAGGAACTACCCAAAGCTGCCAGCTGACTTGCCACAGCTCACAGGTTTGTGAGTGGCAGGGCTGGGACAGGACCCCAGGTCCCCTCTCTCCTTTTCTGATGTCTTTATTCTTCATTGTCATTACCTTTCACCCTGCTCCTGGAACTGGGATTCTGAAGTAGCCAGGGGGAATTCAAGCTGGTGAAACAGAAGCCATAACCAAAGAGGGAGCCATGAACTTGGGAAGTGGGAAAGGTACTGATTCCTCAGCTCCAGCTCAGTTCTGGGGAGTTGGAACCTGAGGCGAATGGTGGGGGAGGAGGAGGGGTTGTCAAGGATGTTGCCTATGTTGGGACAAAGAGAGCGACTCTTCACTTACCAGCTTGTAAGGGCACATCCTATCATGTCACCCAAAACACTGCCACAGACACAAAACACAGTCTGGCAGGGGCAAAAAATGTATTCGTGAGCCAGAT